TTCTTGATTGAATTGTTGTTGTTCTTTCTCTATTTTCTCCTCTCTTGATGCAATTATTTTTCCTTCCCCTTGAACCTAGTCCTCAACATGTAGTGCATCTAGGTACACTTCAAGTTCATCGTATTGCTTGATTACCTTTTGAATGAAATATCTCTATGTTTGCTCTTCATAAACTGGGAAAGGGCATGAAGCGGTATACACTTCATCTTTGTATTTGGATATTTTCATCAAACTTTCTTGATTGAATTGAGATTATCATCAGCAACGGCATCACAAAGTTCATTGAAGAACTCATTGAATGAAACATCAAGATCAAACACAAAGGCTTTGTTTGAATGCAATGAATATATATATGAAAATATATTTTTTTATGTGGTAAGAGTGTGAGAGTAAAAGTCCCAAATATATACTCCCTCTGCCGGCACCAGTTTTTTTTGGGAATGTAAAGAAGAATAATGAGTATATATATGAAAATATATATTTTTATGTGGTAAGAGTGTGAGAGTAAAGTCCCAAATATATACTCCCTCTGCCGGCACCCGTTTTTTTTTTTTTTTTTTTTTTTGCAATTTTTTCAAAACTTCACTCCATGGGGGTTCGAACCCAAGATCCCTTTGCTATTTGGTTGAGTTCCTAACCACCCAACTAACTGTGCTTGTTGTTTTAGATTTGTATAATTTTTTATAATATTTCATAATTATTAAAAAGATTGCATAAAAATTTCTTTTCAATTTTAAAAATATAATGCGTAGTAGTTATATAGCTATGAGTTAAACACAAAATCATCGATATTTTTTTAAATAAAATTTTGATAATATTTTTTAATATGTAAATTTTTTCTTTTAATTTAGTAAAATAACTCAAGTATATTAATACGAGTATAATTTTAGTCAAATATTATAAATTACTTTCTTTATGTATTTATATATGAGAATGTGTGTGTGTGTGTGTGTATATATATTTATATTTATATAATTTTTAAATATGTTTAAACCACCGGTTCGACCAGTTGAACCACTGGTTCGACCAGTGAACCAGTACCTTGACCGGTTCGGTCACCGGTCCGGTTCTCAAAACTATGGCCTGTTTGCCTTTTTTTTCCGTCCCAAAATAAGTTGCATGTTAGTTGTTTTCGTAAACTTTTAAAAATAAAATACCTAAACTACCCCTAAAATAAGTCACTCTTCTTCAACTTATCTTCTCATTCATCATCGCCCCTCCTAAAAAGTAATGACAATTTCGGAAAATCAACTCTATTTTTTATTATCCTTAAATATGCCCAAAAGTCAAAACAGACGATTTAAATTGGGACGGAGGGAGTACTAAATAACATGAGTTAGGTGCAGGATTTTTTATTCTGTTAGGTGAACTTATTATGTTAGTGTTAGGTAGATTTATTGAATTAGGTTGGTTGTGTGGTGTAGGATTTTTTTAAATGTTAGATTGAATGATACTCCCTCCGTCCCAGAGTATTTGTCCACTTTCATTTTTGCACACCATCCAATGCACTTCTTTAATCCATTTTATCTTATAATTTGTATATTAAAAAATTATAGAAATTATATATTAATAATCTATATGTTAAGACAAATCAAACAAGATCACACATGACTATATTTAGGTTTACACATTGAGAGAATTTGATGAGTCAAAGTGCTTAGATGAACAGTTCCAAAAATCAAAAGTGGACAAAGAGAGTGGAACGGATGGAGTATAAGATTTATTGAGCTAGGTTAATTGTATGATGTGGATCAATCTTAGATGTGATAGTTTTATTCGAATGGTGGACAAAGTATCGTTTCGTATTAAATAATTATTTTATAAGGTGAAACAGTAGACAATGTAGCATTTCGTATTAACTATTTTTTAAAAATGAGACGGTAGATGGTCTATTGTTTGACAATGAGTTTTTTTCTTAGGGATGCCTAAAATTTTTTATGTAGTACCCGGTACATGGAGTACCGTTAAGTTTAAAAAACTTTTTCTCTTATCATCCACCGTCCAAAAATAATATACAAGGAGTATAATTTATGTTTTTGATTTTTTATCCAAACACAATAAATGAATCCCACAAAATAAAAAATTTATTAATTTGATTTTTTTCTTAAGTTAATATCTAATTTATTTTTCCAAAGAAAATAAATAATAGGGAGTATTTTAATTTGATTTTTTATCCAAATACAATAAATAAATCACACCTAATACAAAAAATATTACACCATTCAATACACCTAATCCAATAATCCCACATGATAAATTTTGTTTACATCATACAATCAATCTAACCCAATAAAATTTGACCTAACAAAAAAATTCTATACCATTCAATCCATCAAACCCAATAAAATTCACCTAACACCCAAAATATCTCACCTAACATAATACGGAGTAAATGTCAGCCAATTGAAAAAAATCTTGCACCTAACTCATTACATTCAACCAAAACTTTTGTGTCCGATTTGGATGTCTCATTTTAAGAGTAACAAGATCAGTTATGATATCTGATACGGTCAAAAGTATGTGTATTTAGAGGAATTGGATCCGTGTGAGTAACAAGTTCAGTTATCAATATTGGTAACATCTTATTTGGTCAAAAGTATGAGTATTTCAAATAATTTGATACGTGCGAGTAACAAGATACCAATAAGATCTTATCATGGCAATAATATGAGTATCCATAGGAATTGAATATGTAGAGTAGCAAATTCAGTTATGAGTACTGGTAACATCTTATACAATCAAAAGTATGATTATATGGAGGAATTAGATCACTGTGGGTAACAAGTTCAGTTTTCTGTATCGGTAACATCTTATACGTCAAAAGTATGAGTATCTAGAGGAATTAGATTCGTGCGAATAACAAATTCAGTTATTAGTACCAGTAAGATCTTATACTGTAAAATGTTTGAGTGTCAAGAGGAATTTTGACTTATGCGAGTAACAAGTTAAGTTATCACTACTATAACTTCTTATACGATCAAATGTATGAGTATTCAAAGTAATTGGATATGTGCGAGTAACAAGTTCAGTAGTTAATACTTGTGAGATCTTATACGATCAAAAGTATGAATATCCGAAAGAATTAGATCAGTGCGAGTAAAAAGTGCAGATATGATTAACAGTAACATCTTATATGGTCAAAAGTATGAGTATCGAGAAGAATTAGATCCGTACGAGTAACAAGTTTAGTTATCATTGCCGGTAACATCTTGTACATCGGGCAAGGCACTTTATCCGTGAAGCTAGATTCCGTGAGATGTAGTACAAAGGCGGCCTGATAGACGTTAGGATGCGCTAGCGTGTGGGAGATAACCTCGAAGGCAACTACAGAACCAAGAGATAAAGGATGAGGTGGACGCACACATTATTCACCTTGAATCTCTTCGTTTCTAAATAATTATCCATTTTGATTTTATATTTTGGTAGTAACACATCTGATAATCAAAAGTTATAACACTGTACAATAATAAACAAACCCTACTTACAGGTTTGTCCTGCAATAGTATGTCCAATTTTCAATTTCAAGATGTACAATAGTAGACACCCGCGAATAGGGTTTGTCCTGCAATAGTATAACCCACTGCACTCCCATCACACCCCGGCCCCTGTACCCCACCCTAGACCCCTCTTTTACCCCCTCTAAATGTGTAGTTATATGCATTGCATAATAGTCACACATTTGGAGGGAGTAAAAAGATAGTCTAGAGTGGGGGCACAAGGGTCAGGGTGCAGTGGGGGGGTGGGTTAGAAAGGGAGTAAGGATGGATAAAAACTATCAATTTTACGAACAGAGCACCGGACGAGCTCCAAGTCAATGAAAATCCTCCTTTAGCACTAAATGCCAGTTTCAATAGAACGTTGCCCATAAATAAATCACATTCCCAGAAAAATAATTATATATATGAATATATCGTCTTTAGAGATATGGAATTATTAAAAATAATACATTCAAAGTATTTTTTTGATATCAATAATTTGATATAAATTTTGTTTTAATTCATTGTACAATTTTACATATATACCGAGTAGTTAAAAAGGAATGGAGGGAGTTTTCTATTCCAAAAAAGGAAACACACTTATGTCGTCCCTGCAATGCTCCCGCCATATTCATTCTCGGCTATATGAAACAATCAATCCTTTAAAACAGTCTTCTTCAAGGGGAGAAAGATTATTGACCGGCTATGAGGATTAAAAAAAAAAGAGAATACAGGAAGGATTGCAGATCATTACGAAGACTGCTTCTCCAGTGATGAGTTTAAACACCCACACAGGCCGATAAATCAGCAAGCATTCAAAAAAGGAAGAGGTAAAGTCGGTATATTATATGTTTGCATTATGAAAAAGTTTAGATACTGCAACTATGCGACGATGAATGAAAAAAAGGAAAATTGGAAATTCTAATGGTTGAGATCGGTACCCGTTCTTCGTTTCAAGAAACAGGAAGCTTTCATGCTCTACCCCCCGTCCTTTAGTTGCTCCTCTGTGCCCCGGGCAGTAAACTTGAAAGGGTCGGAACTCCTTGGCTTCTCATTTCCTCTTGAGCGCGTCTCATTTCCTCGGGATCTGCGCAAGACGTAAAACAAAGTGTTAGCATAAAAACAGTACCAATTGATGATGCAATTCCCACTGTGACAGTGTCTACTGTAGATAAATCTTCACTATTTAATACTCGGCCGTTTTCATCTGAAAATCAAAGGGTGAATAGATTATAGAACATGGGTGACGTGTGGAGTGAAGTATATGTGTATTCTCTTGTATTTCCGAATGAACAATACCTATGATGAATAGAAGTGACATCAACACTCTGGTTCAACCACTGTTAATTATATTAGCAATCTTTTTACTACATGCTTACCCATATTTTCTACCAATTTAGGCATAACAAACACAACAAGCAGCATGAATCCAACCATCAGACCCATCGGGCTTTTGACTAATGACATGATGGAGAATGGTTCCCTAACCTGGAACAGAAAAGAAGTTAAAAAAGCATCAACTCTTGAAGTAAAAATAAAAAAAATTGAGGAAATACAACTGGATTAAAGTCAAAAGTTTATTCTCACCTCATAGTATTGTTCCTCCCTTAGTGGCTCCAAAATGAGCTCAGTAAGACTTCTTCTATTCTCTGTCAGTGCTGCTTGAACCTTACCTGGGTTTCTGG